CCCCCTGACACCACTGCAGGCCTGAGTTACAACCGCCTTTTCAAACTCAGGCCATGACAAAGTTGCAGACTTGTGCTATTTTTGCCCATTACAAACTCCCATGTGACATAACCGTACTTCCCTCTTTTTATTATCATTACAGTATTAGGTTGAACCCCACAGCAGCAGAATCCGTGTTCATGCCGCCAACAAGGGATGATGCATGGGCTGCACGCACCAGCAGTTTGGATACCTGCTACACTGCAGCTACAGCATGTGGGAGATACCAGCCAGGGTTCAGTCAATAGTGCCAGAGACCATGCCCTGTGGAGTCGGTTTGGACCAATCCCTGCACCTCCCCTCCGGTCCCTTCCCCCCCCGACGAACATCAGCTGGCTACCTCTGGATGGCGGACACTAAGTCTGCCCAGGAAGGATAGGTGGAAAGCGCCCACGCGGAAACCATTTTGGTTTCACGCCCCCGAACTTTTGCCGTTTGGCAAGAATGGCCCATGGGGTACACAGGCTGTCAGATGTTAAAATCTGAAGACCGAGATTGGGTCAGGACCGCTTGCAATGGCCCCCTCCTACCCGATCATGAACTGGCACTGTATCTGCACCAGATTCATTTTCCGGTAGGCCGTTCTTGCCAAATGGCAAAAGGGTGTGAAACCAAAAAAGGTTTCCGTGTGTGGGCTGCCCACCAATTATCCCGTACACGCGACCAATGGGGATTTAACCCACAACCTCTGAATGCCAGTTGTGTGCCTTTGAAAAAACAAAAACAGGAGAGTGGTGGTGCTGTCTGTTGACCAACAGTTACATGCCCGCAAGGGTGCAAAACCAACAAAGGTCTCCACGTGTGGGCTTCCCACCAATTATCTGGTACACGAGGCCAATGGGGATTTAACCCACGACCTCTGAATGCCAGTTGTGTGCCTTGGAAAAAAACAAAACAGGAGAGTGGTGGTGCTGTCTGTTGGCCAACAGTTACATGCCTGCGCTATTCACCCAGATGGCTGGTCCAGGGTCCTCCTCTTCAAGCCAAGCAGCAAACCCGGAGGAGCAAACTGTCCTTAGGCTAGCCAAAAAAAAAAACAGAAAAACAAAAACGAGTTATAATTGCACTCGCACTTTGGGCACCCTACCTGGCCAGAAAGCTGGGTTGTGTACATTGCCCAAACTGCAATTCGAAACTGTATCTTGGCCCATACTGCAATCATAACTCATTTTTGTGACTCCCGCCTAGTTTCCCCAACAAATGAAAAAAAAAAACTGTCCTAGCTCAGTTGGCAGACCCGTGAACTTTTAGAAATGAAGACCCGTGAACTTTTGAAATGCAGAGCTGGATAATGGGGCTCCCTGCACTACGCTAGACACATGAAAAATTTCAAGAGTTCGTCTAGCGCTGTCAGACTCCTGGATTGGCATCAAGAGCTGTCGTCGCTGCACTTACTCCGGACTCTCTACTCTCGTGAGCATACACGACAGGGCATCGATGATTTGTCAACCGAGACCGGAGGCCAACTCTCGAATTTGCAAACCGCATGAAAGGACCCATCGGCCTCGTTTGAAAAAAACGCTCCTGCAGGCGGGAACTGTGGAAACTTCAAGAGCTTGTCCGATGGGCCATTTCTGACACCTCTTGAAGCGCAGGACCAAGAGCAGTTTTCCACAGTTAGTGCAGCGATGACTCACTCTCGACGTTTTCGAGAACGAATCTGACAGCTCTTGAATAGAAATCCGGGACGCGGCATCAAGAGTTAGCGCAGCGCAGCAGCGGTGAGGAACTCCTGATTTTTCAAGATTCAAGAGTAGTGCAGCAAGGCCCAATGTCTACAAGAACTGGGAGTCCGACTCGGCTTCGATGGCGTGTGGAAAAGTTGCTGGAACCGAGAAGATCGAAAATTCACCCGTCCTCCCGTTAAAAGCGAAACTGGTAATGCTCCAGTCCAGCCTTTATGTGGGGAGATTTTTCTTTTTTTTTATTATGGGGTGATCACAACTGTCTATATTCTTCTATCAACTTCTGTTTTTGTTTACCTTCCACTACCTACTCCTAAGACTATCTAGAGGGGACCCCTGCAAGCATAGTTTTCCTCTCTTTGTGAAGGGGGGATTTCATGTTGCCCCTTGCCCCTAATGGTTAGGGTATAGGGTTGGGGCCGCCAGTGGGGGTCTGGCTAACACAAAGACCGAGACCTGCCAGTAGCTGTGCCTCCCTTTCTCATAATCCCCCACCCTTCATCGAGTAGCAGCAGAGGCTATGGCCAACACTCTCCCACACACCACACACAACCCACTCCCGCTCACACTCACACCCGTGTTGGTCATAGACCCCGCTAATACCGATCAGGGGTATCCAGAGGACTATCACAGTCCGTTGGCACTAAGTGCGCCGCAGGCGGCTGTTTGAAAAAAAAAAAAGAAAAAAAGAAAAAATCACCCGTCCACCAACTGGCCTAGCTCAGTTGCTACACCCATGAACTGTTGAAGTACAGGCACTCTCACACAGCGACCCCAAATCCACAAAGTATGCGGACTTGGGAAAGGTCGAATTGTGGTTTTAGGCTTGCTAGCAGTCACACTGCTTTACCTTTACAAATGGGACAAGGCACAGGAGTCTGTAGAAACGGGGAGTTGGGGCCAGGCTGGTCACACAGCGCCAGCCGTAAATTCTGCAGAGCCTTTTTTTTTTTTCTTTTTTTTGTTGTTGCCAATTCCTGCTTTCTGTGCATCCACATGCCTCAACAGCTTCCCTCCCCCCCAAAAAAAAAACATGCCTCAACAGCCGAATCTTGAGAATCCGGCTACCTTTTGGCTAAGATCAAGTGTAGTACCTGTCCTCAATTCCGGTGGTTCTTTTACCACCACTGGGAATTTTTTGAGAGAGTTGACCGCGGGAGAGCGTTGCGGAATGGCCTAGCGCAATAGCCTGAAGCTGCTTGGGTGAGGCAAGGCGATGACGTCGCGGCCTGGGGCCGGCGGCGGGCGCCGCGACGGTTGAGTCACCATGCCTGAGTGGTCTCATCCGCCCCTGCCGCTCCTAGCCATGGGGTTAGGCGTAGTTATACTGGCGTGCTGAGTTGAGAGTGCGCTGGCGTGTGGGTGTGGCGCGCTTGCGCGATGATGCTCTTATACCGGGTATGGAGCTTGATCAGCGTGCTGAAGCACGTTTGGTCTTAGTTACGAAGCTTTGGCTGTGATGCTGATGAAGATGC